GAAAATAAATACTAATTATCCAATGATGGAATTTTTTCAAATTTCAAATGAGAAATTTCTATAAAAATTTTTAGGTAAAAAATTTTCTCTAAATTTGTCATAAATGGTAGAATAATTTAGATAAAATTTTAATAACAATAATTAATATTTATTTTCAAAAAAAAATTAAAAATATAAATTTTTTTGGTTGAAAATATTTGACAATTATCCAATAATGAGATTATTAAAAATTTCAAATGATAAATTTCTTAAGAAATCTTTAGGTGAGATATTTTTTAAAATTTGTCTAAAATAGTAAAAAAATTTAAACAAAATTTCAAATAAAAAAAAAGTTGTCCTATTATTTTCTTACCAAAAAATAAAAAAAATTTCTAAATTTACCTAAATGGTAAAAAATTTAAATAAAAAATAAATTTTTTTTTTAAATTGACCCAAATGATAGAAAATTTATAAATAAAAAGAAATAAAAAGAATTTTTAAATAGATCAAATAGTTGAGAATTTAGAAATTAAAATATTTTTAATTTGACTCAAATGTTGAAATAATTAAATATATTTTTAATAAAAAATAATAAAAATAAAAAATATTTTTTTGATGACGGAACCTCTTCAAGGAAACAAATGGGATCTTTGAATACTCTTGAGGTGAAAAAATATTTTTAAGAGTTCTATCACATTGATGAAAAGTCTTAAAAGTTATTTCCAATATTTAACATAAAAATTAAAACCACTATAATTAAAACCTTATGATAAATTAAAAATAAATGGTATTATTCTTTGGATGGACATGTGGGAGTGCTATAATCTTTCACAAATGTAACCGAACTTTCGAACCCTCTGGTTTGTAGATACGAACTTATTTTTTTTAGAGATTATTGGTCAAGCTTAGAAGCTTTTTAAAATGATAGATTCCTTAAGTGACCAATCATACATAGTAAAAAAGATTGATAATAATTTTACTATAGATTTACAGATTTATATGTTATGATAAGTAATTTGAATTGTAAATCTTTTGATTATACTAGTAAAGGAATTATATATACTAAAATTTTAGACACCCACTATGTGGTTAAAAAATAATATTTTAAATAAAATTTGTGTTTTAAAGAAAATGTAAAAACTTACTTAATATTAGTTCCGATATCATGCATGTTTATTAAACTCTTATAAGTTATGAATTTGAAAAGATTTAAGCATGTTAAATAAGTAGAGATTAAGAGGTTAAGTATATATTAAAACTTAAAAAAAAATGAAAAAAAGGTGAGTAGATTTATAAAAGCTAAAATGGTAAAAAAAAAAATCATGAATTTTTTTATTTTTTAAATAGATCTTAATATTTTTATTATATCTAAATAAATTTTTAATGAGAGAAGCTTGGCTTTTATTGCAATCAACACTAGTTGAATATTTTTACCGATCCGAAGTTGATGTGATACGATGAAATACTTTTCAATTAAACAAATAAATTTGTTTCTTACATTTTACAAAATTTCTTTTCCAATTTTGGGCCACGTCATCAAGTTTTTTTTTTTTTAATAAATTCATGTGGATAAGATAAATCTACCCTTACGTTGACAGCAACAAAAGTCAACTTTTCATTTGAAATAAGAATTTATTTAGTTACAAATAAAAGATTAAAGACTGATTTACATACAATAAAGTGTGAATATTTATCTAAAAAAAGAGAAAAAAACTAAATGGGGTATTTTTTTTTTCTATGTGAGTAGACATATAAATAATTAAAAATCCGGAATATAACCTGAAGTATTAACATTCCACTTATAACAAATTTTTTATAATTCCAAAATTCTTTAAAATTCATATGAATATCATTCCAAGGAAATGTACAATAAATAAATAAATAGATAAGATAAGCTACAAATCTAATATTTAATGAATACTTAAAACCATTAGTCTGAAGATATATTTTTGAAACAGGAAAATTACTTCATAATAGTCCACTAAGTAAAGACAGATAAAACTAAAAGAATTCAGTACTGCTAATGCTTGGAACATCTTTTACGAATCTCTAGTAGTACAAAAATTCATGCAACACTTAATGTTGTACCAAATGAAAAAGAAGACAGTTGGGAAAATTCCATCCATTCTTAGAATTTCATAATCGAGGAATTTTTCACTATTTCAAAATTTATACCAAAATAATTTTGCAAATATATTTTCAATTTTCCAATTTTACAAAACCAAATTTTTATTTTTTTCATTATTTTCTAACCAAGAAACTAAATTATCAACAAAAAAAATACAATAACTAAAAAATAAAATAATAGATAATAAAAGAAAGAAAGAAAGAAAATTACCAATTAGTCAATATTGGTTAGGACAGGGAAGAGTGGAAAAAAAAATCAAAAACCAATTCTAAAAAAAAAAAAAAAATTAAATATATATATTAAGTTTGGATTAGATTTTAAATCGAAATGTAACAAATTAAAAAAAATTGAACCAAATTGAATTGTATGCTTTTATCAATTTATATATATTTTTTTAATTTTTATAAAATAAAATAATTATTTTATATAAAAATTTATTTACATATATTAAAATTATATTAAATAATATATAAAAATAAATTTTAAAAACCAATAAATTGAATCTGTAAAATTTAATTCGAATAGATCAATTTAAAAAAAATTAAGTTAAATTTTAAAAATTTATATTACTATACATTTTTTGAAAAAAAAATATTAAACTTAATCAAATTCAATTCAATCTAAATTGTTATCATTAGTGATGGCAACGGGTCGGGTCAGGATGGGTTTTTGCTAGCCTCAAACCCGACCTGACTTTAAACATATAAAATTTATACCCGCATTCGATCCGAAAATCTTTTTAATTTAATATCAAAATTCGATCCGATCCGACCTAAAATTAATAAAATATTATTTTAAATATAAATATAAAATTAAATATAAAATTAAATAAATAATTTAAAAAATAATTTTTTTATATATATCGAATTGAATAAGATCGGATTTGTCTAAAATCTGATCTCGACCTGAATTCGAAATTTTTTTATACCACCCGATCCGATATTTAATTTTCAAAAAAATAAAAACTGACCTTAAGGGTCGAATCAGGTTAAAATCCATTGGTTTCGGATATTTTTGACTTTCCTTATTATCATCCGTAGAGATACGAGGGATGTACGGATCTCGAGCCAATTTTGAGAAGACACATGGATCCTTCTCTTCTTTAATCTGAAACGACACCGTTTGGAAATGGGTTATGAAATCCAAACAGCTCAGCCACTTCTTTCATTTTTCATTTGTTATTTCTCTCTCTAAATATCAAAACCTCTGATCTGGCTCTAAAAATTCAAAGGTTCAAACAAAAACTTTAAAATTCTAGAATTCGGCCCCTTCCGGCAACCGTTATCACAGCTACCAAAACCTTCAACTACCGTCTGTTGGCTCAAAAAAAACAAAACCCTTTTTTTCAATTCCTCTCACTTCCCTCTATCAACTAATTGGTTTAGATTGTCACAAAACCCTCTATAATCCCCTAATTCTAAACCCAACATTATGATTGTCGCTCCCAAAACACCAGTTTGCCACTGTCCAAACAACCTAGAACCTCCAAAAATCTCTTCCTTTTTAAATAATTAATATAATTATATTAATATCAATATATGTAAATACTAAAACATATAAGAAATAAAAACGTTTAAATAAACAATTATTATTTAATACAATTTAATTTAAAATTACCCTTTATAGTTAATTCAATTGAAAATTTTCATAGATATTAAAAAAAAATTTTGGTGAAGCGTGGGCTCCATTCTAATTTCAAAGAGAGAACAAAGCACAGAAAAGAAAATTTTAAATGAAATCCTTTCCACTGTAAATCTTTTTCTGTTAAGCAAATGCATGGAAATTGCCATGAAACCACCATTACCCTGACTTTGTCAACTTTCGTATTCACGTGCATGGAAATTTAATTTATGTAAATGTGAATCAAACAATTACAAAAAAAAAAATCTTAAATGAAATCCTTTCATTTGGAGTTAAGCAAATGTATTGAAATTGCCATGAAACAGCCATATCATTATCCTAATTATGTGAACTCAGTAGTTTACGAACTTCCGTATTCACATGCACGGATATTTACTTTATAAACTTATGAACCAAACCATTACATATATATATATATATAATACATACATTTTTTTATATATATAAGAGAGATTGGAGTCTAAGAAATATGAGAAAAGAAATTAGAAACGTAAGAAATCGAATTTCAATTTTGTAAGTAAGTTTGACAATTTATATATATATATATGTGTCATGTTTATTTTATGTTAAATACATGTAAAATATAAAAATTTCATATTATAATTTGTGTCGATAAAAAAATATAAAACAATTTTTTAAAAATTTTTTATCAAACTCGTATATAATTTTTATTAAAATTTTAAAATATATCGCTTTCAAATTTTTTTTTACCATTGACAATTATGCTTAAAACCTCTAGTGGGAATAATTATGCTAGATTTCTTACCATTTACAATTATGTTGTAGGAGACAAAGAGATGCATTCCATTATTAACCCAATCCATTTGTCATTGAAACCCATCTTCCTTGTTACTGTTGCCAAAAAACTCCACACAACATTATCATAAGCTTTGTTCATATCCACCTTTAATGCCATTTGATATTTTCTTCCCCTTTTCTTCAACTTAGAGGTAATGAAATGCCCCATGGGCCACCAATATGTTGACTTGAATCTGTCTTCTCTCCGTAAATGCAAATGAACTCTGATTTTGAATAATCAACTCCCTCATATATAGTTTACTCTATTAGCCATGACTTTTGCTATGCCTGTCTAGAATGGGATACCTGCCTGCTTTCTTGACTTTTGGGATGAGCAGAATATTCAACTTGTTCATCTCCTTTAGCAAACAATATAGAAATCACTGAGCCAAACGTTGGATCAAAATTGAATTTCTCAAAACCAAATTTCATCCAAGCTTTGAAAGAGAGTTCGATGGAGGAATTGCACGAAATTGCAAATGCCTATTTTGAGGTTGCCTCCCGTGATATCAAGGAGGAGGCCCGAAAATTTTTCAACAAATTGGACAGCAATATGGATGGCAAAGTGAGCCTCCATGAATATCTGGGCTTCATGAGGCAAGAAAAATATCAAAATTTGAGGAGTTCGGATTTGTTTAAGCAGCTTTGCAGAGGAAAAAGTGAGACCCTGGAGTTCATGGACGTCGTGACTCTGTACTATATAATTCGAAGTGGAAGGCCATTTTGCGATGGTTGTAACCAATTTATCAAAGATACCTACTTTTGTTGCATCGAATGCTTCGACAGCTCCAACGAGAATTACTGCCTTTGCTGTCAATGTTTCAAGAGTAAGAACTATATAACCGGCTCTCAGTCTCATCGCCATCAATTTGTGGATAACTTCGCTTTGCTTGAACTGAAGAGGGCAGCTGTCTCAAATAAGGTTAGTAAGTGTTCCATGTTTAAAAATTAAAAGTTTTTTTTTGTTTTTTAGTAAATTGCACCGTACATTCATGAATTTTTTTTATTCAGATTCTTTTAAAATGTTCTAAATTCATCCCTTTTCGGAAAACCACCATCAAAATATTACAGTATTTGCTACCTTAACCCCACATCAATTTCCAAGTGAATGTTCACAGGGCAAAGCAGATGGGTTTAATTTTTGAGTTAAAGCTATATGAATATTTAAAGTGATGGATTTTGATATTTAATTTAAAAAACCTCAATTAATATTATATTATTTTTTATGATACTTATTAATAATATAAAACATATAAATGTGCAAAAAATATATGAATAAGGATTAATAAATTTATAAAATTATAAAAGAAAAATATTACAACTAAAGAATACCATAATTTTTAAATTAATTGTAATATTATTAAATATTAATTAAGAAATATCACAATCTTTCAATAAAGTATTTGATCTTTCTTAATTCTTTGGGTAATTTAAAATCAAAATAAAAAATAACAAATTAATACTTTTATAAGTATCAATTAATTAAAAAAAATGTTTTATCCAAAAAAGAAAAATATATATTCTTCTAAAAAATAAAGTTGAAAATTTTGAGATAAAAATCTATGATATTTTCTAATATTTTAAAATGATTCTAATATGATTTTTTCTGCAGAGAAAATCATAGATTTTTTAACCCTCTTTTTCTCTCATTCCCACGTTCTCAGGTTTCATCTCCACGTGCTAAACCAAATGATAAGGAATGCCAGAGATGGTATTGCCGCTCTTTGTTTAGTTAGTTTTCGTCTATCCACTTAATATTAATCTATATCCTATTTACTTATTAAAAGAAATAAAATTGTGTCCTATTTTTCACTAAATATTAAATTAGAATTTTTACTGCTTTTTTTAATTTAATTTTAAAAATCAATTGATGAAAAAAATTAAATGAAAAAGTAAAAAACTTTAAGTAACTAAAAACTTTTAACTTATTCAATCAATTGTATTTAAAGAAAAATATGTTATTTAATTAAATTTCTATTTATTTACTGAATGGACAAATCGACCAAAAAAATTATAATTATATTTAACAATAAAATATTAGACATACGACGAAAATTTTTTGTTGCCATCGAAAAAAGTAAGAGTCTCGTTCCTATTATTTTAAGAATTGAAAGTGGCACAAAAGAAAATATGTTATTTAATTAAATTATTCTTTTATTCTTTAATTTTTACGTTATAAATTGAGTACTTAAGCTTTTCAAAATTAACAATTAAATTTTTAAACTTTTCAAAATTAACGATTAGTTTTTCAAACAAAGCCAAATTTCTTTGTGAAGTAATAACTATTTCTGAATTAATTAATACCTTCAGGGAAAACGTGAGAGGATGAAGGCGAGGCTTAAAGTAATCGGAGAGAAACACTGATGGTTGGAAGTGGTATCGCCACAAATTACCTAATGTTGCGCCTATCCAGTTGCAAATATTTTCACTATGCCACAATTATTATAACTATTCCAATTCCTCTGCAAGGGACATTTAGATTTTCAATATTTTATTTTGAAAGTACTGAGTTATATAATAAAATTAAAATTGCGTGGTTATTCAATATGAGAAAGTTATTTATGAATTTGTGTAATTCATAACCCAGTTCCTTATGTTTCAAAACACAAAAATTGAACTCAAGTGGTTAATTGAATAAGTGTGTAATATTTTTCATCTTGGATTTTCAATTTTTTTTTATCTTTTTCTAATTAATTATAAAGAAAATATTTTCTATTAATTGAGTTTGTGGTTTGATGTCATGTTTTGTGGGGATTGATGAAAGGCATCATCTTGAGAATATTATTTTTAAAGGTGTTAATTACATCTATTTAAAGATGAATGATGAATTTGATTTAATTGTCTTAAAAAGCTATATCTATTATTATTTTGGGTTCAAGAGTAATTAGATGAGATTTGGTCAATTTAAATGCTTAATTGAATTGAGAGATTTTGATTGGGTTGAACTAAATGAGTTACAAGACAGAGTGTAGGGTTTGTAATTAATTGGGTTCATACATATTATTCACTATTGTTCTTATTTTTTATTTTAAATTATATTAATTTAGTCATTCATGAATTAATAATACCCATGAACCCAATTAATTGTGGATGAATGTATTTTGTATTTAGTGTCATTTAAATTTAATATTTTGAGCCTAGATTCATATTTACTATGAAGTAGTATAAATAACCATGAACCAAAAACCAAAATTGGATGTATCTAACTATTCAGGAACTTAGCCATTTATAAATTTATCTTATCTAAGAACTTAATTAATTGTGGATTAATATATTTAGTGATTAGTGTTATTTAAGTTTAACATATCTATTGAATAGTATAATACCCATGAATCAAATCCAGATAATTATATTTTATTTTTTTTATGTTCCAATATGTTGTAAAAGTATGAGTTATCAGCTTTGTATATATAATATGAAATTAAGTTTTAATTTTTTTTTTTGGTTTATGCATCAATAAAGTTCTAATTAAATTGTAACCAAGCCAAGTTAGGTAAATCTAATATATTTATACACATATATATATACATATATTTATTTATTGATTTATTTATATATATTTATATTATATTATATTATGACATACAAGATTGCAAAATAAAAATTGCTTATATGGATATTTTGGTGGATAGTCTCTTTTAATGACACATAGGATAATGCTTATATTATTTTATTTATTAAATAACTTTTTTTAATAAATTATTTAAATTTAATATTTTAGATAATTATTTAAATTCGAATCATATATATATATTATATTTCAACATATAAGGATACTTAATAAATTATTTAAATTTAATATTTTAGATAATTATCAACACTTTGAAATCTCTTTATTATGAAAAGATGATAAATAATGCAATAAAAAATTTTGCTGACACGGTAATCTCTGGCGAAATCGTCGAGAATGCCATTAAGAATGGCAAGTTGTAAGGGGACGAAGCTTCCACCAAGAAAGCACCAAAAAAGAAAGAAGCTGAAGTCCAAGCTGTGAGTTTTGACAAACAACAGTTCAGAGGTTATCAACCTTATCCACCACAAAGTTACTCTTCATACTATCTTGTAGTGAATAATACCTCATCCTGCCCATATCAACCAGCCCCATTGCCATCTTACTCACCAACATATCAACTCATTTTCAGACCCCAAGCTTCCATATATAGCCTAAATACTCAACCTCTAGCAAGACCTCAGTTTTGTCCTGCTAACTCAATAAGTGATTCACAAGAGCTACGAACTACATGAGAAAAACTTATATTTGACCCAATCCCATGACTTACACTGAGTTATATCGAGAGCTCTACAATAACCACTTAATTGCCCACAGCTATCTGGAGCCATTGAAGCCACCTTATCCCAAATGATATGATCCTATAGCTCATTGTGACTACCATTATAGAATTGCTGGACATTCCATTGAAATTGACTGCAATAATTAATCAAGGATGGAATGATAAATTTTGATATAACAGGGATAACAACACCTAATGTTAGTGGCAATCCATTACCTAATCATAATGTTAATGCTCTCAATAAGGATCAAAAGCGAGTTTGATCTGAAAAGCTTGGTGAGCTTTAACGAATCAAAGGGGCTAGGTGTTGATAAAAACCATTTGCTTGATCACAAGGGGGCATAAGGCTAATTGAAAGTTGCTTGCTATTTTGAGATTTCTTTCAGAGTAATGTTAGGATTTTTTTATGCAATAAGATTTCATTTTTATCATTTTAATAAAAAACAAGTAATGTTAGTGTTGGGATGGACTCAAATCCAATAAGAGATTTAGATAGAGATTTATTCCAAATGTGATTAGCTAGATATTGGTTGATGGACAATAAGACTTGCAAAAGAAGAATTCTAATAGAAAAAAGTTTCTTGATAGGTAAGTTTGTATGCTTATAAATAGGTGGAGTCTCCATAAGATTAGGTGTGAGAAAAAGATATAAGAGAGTTATAGAATTTTATGAAATAGACACCCCATAGGACTAAAAATAATTAAGAAGGTCCTTATGGGTGTATATATTTGAGTGGACTAAAAGAGAATAAGATAGTCCATATATGTATGATGAATCACATAAGTATATACTTGTTTGGGTTAAAAATACTTTATAAGACTAAAGGAGAATAAGAAGTTCTATGAATATTATTTGGTATTGATTGTTGATGATTTGTATGTTATAATTCTCTGCAACTAATGAATATTTTTTCTCATCCATGGCCATAGCTGGTTGGGTTGACCAATGTTAAATCATCATCTCTTATGTGATTGATTGATTGTTTGATTTGGATTTTACTGGCTTAGATGTTTATTTTTTGCCCATCAACAAAGAAAAAACTATTCCAATCTTAAAATTTTAGATCATTATTAGATTTTCATTGTTATTTAGATTCATAAATAGATTTGTCCATCAAATTTTTGTGGGTCCAAAGTTTTACGTGAATCACATACTAATAATTTGTGGATTTTAACATAATTTTTTATTGTAATTGATAAAATTGTAACATTGTAATAAATATATATATATACATGATATACTCTCACATTATCAATGTATCATATATTGTCACCTCATTACTTAACAAATTTAAAACATAAAAAATACTTTAAAATAAATACTAAAAATTATTTAATTGAACAAAAATAATTATTAATTTTTTCAACTTTATCTTTTAAGAACTCTTAAATTTTAAATTTATTAATAAATAATAAAATGTGATTCATTGATAGGATTTATACACAATAGTGCATAAATATAAAATTTTATTTTTATGATGCATTGAATGTTTCCATTTCCATAGTTCCAAAGAGAACTTTTGTCTTGATCAAGACATCTATGATGTGAACATCTTCCATTTCTTTACGTTGGGAGTCAATGGAAACGACTCTTCCAATAGTGGTTGTTATTAGATATTCATTGTTTTCTACACTCACATAAATATTCAACAAACAAAATGCACTACAATTTACTTGAGAAATTAGTATATATAAAATTAAATAAAAGTAAGAAACATATATATTTTTATATTGTTTAAAAAAATAAGTAACAACAAAAAATAACTAAAATAATTAATTGAATAATATTTTTAAGAAAGTTACTTAAAATTGTGGATTAATTTTTAAAAGATTGTGTTACATATGTAATTTGTAAGTAATTAATTTTCATATATTTATTTTTCATAATTAATATAATTATATTAATATCAATATGTGTAAATCCTAAAACATATAAGAAATAAAAATATTTAAATAAACAATTATTATTTAATATAATATAATTTAAAGTTACCCTTTATGGCTAATTCAATTGAAAAATTTTATAAATATTAAAAAAAAATCTTGGTGAAGCGTGGGCACTATTCTAATTCCAAAAAGAGAACATATTACAAAAAAGAAATTTTTAAATGAAATCCTTACCACCACTAGAAATCTTTTTTGTTAAGCAAATGCATTGAAATTGCCACGAAACCACCATTACCCTAACTTTGTCAACTTTCGCATTCACATGCATGGAAATTTAATTTATGTAATTGTGAATCAAACAATTACATAATTATTTTTTTATACAAAAGAGATTGGAATCTAGGAAATAAGAGAAAAAAATTAAATATTAAAAATCGAATTCTGACTTTGTAAGTAAATTTAACAATATGTATATATAGAGGGATTTAAATTCTATCGTATTTTTAGTACGATATAATTAAATTTATTATATTATTAATTGAATTTAAATATAAATTTTAATAAGATTTATTTAATATAAAAAATTTTTTAAAAAAAATTTAATCACAATTACAATAAATTTTTAATTATAATTATAATAATAATAATTATTTTTTTAATTTCATTGAATCATCCTCATACACTCAAATAGACTCTTCCACTTGAGGATATGAAATCTGATGAAACTAGGCCTTAACAAAAAATCTTAAACTAAACCTGAATTATTATTTTATTAATACTTCTAATTTTTGTTTTGATTAGTCAACTTCCCTAACGAATCTGACTGAGCGGCCGAGCTAGACTTTAGACAAGAACACGAAAGTCCGCTCGTATATAAAAAAACACTATGTAAAAAAACCAGTCTATATTGCACGAAAGAGAGATTGATTCCCAAAAACATCGAAATTGAATTTCTCCAGAGAAAATTTCATCGAAGCTTATTAAAAGAGAGATTGATGGAGGAATTGCACGAAATTGCGCAAGCCTATTTCGAGGTTGCCTCCTCGGATATCCAGATGGATGCCCAAAATTTTTTCAACGAGATGGATAGCAATTTTGATGGCAAAGTGTGCCTCCATGAATTTCTGGACTTCATGAGGCAAGAAGAATATCTAGAATGGAAGAGTTCGGATTTGTTTAAGCAGC